AAAATTTATGTAAAATTAGCAGAGTGAAATCTTATTTTAATTTCACAAGTTATGATACAAAACACAAGTTCTGTACAAACTTCTGTTTACATCAAAAAATTTTTGAATTTTGGATCAAATTTGGATAGTGATTTGAGGTTCAACAAAAAAATAATTAGATAATTTAAAATTTGTGCTTTCAAACAGTTAAAATGTGTAAAATAAACATTATATTATTTTATGTTGTGTTCAGTTTTGTGAATGCTGAGAATTTGAAATATTTAACAGAACAACGTAAGTGAAAACTATTCAATTATTTAATGATAATAAAATTTAATTAAGATATAATTTAGTACATTAATAAAAGGTGAACCACTGGGTTTTCCTTTTAAAAATCTATGGTATTTGTCAAATTAATTATTCAATGTGTTTCTATTTAAACAGATTGTAATTTATAACAAAATAAAATTTAAAAAAAAAATTAATGATAATATTATGATACGATTTAAATATAATATTCTTCTGTTGTGGTATTATGCAACAAATGGAAAAGTTGAAATTATAAAATTCAAGCATAAACAAAAAAAATATTTAAAATTCAGATCTTCTAATCAAACTACTTTCACTTCAACACACTTATTGGCATAGGAAATTATATTATATTATATTTGTTATATATGGAAATATTTTAAGTGTCTATTTATTTATTAATGATGTAATAATTAAATAACACATGTATAATATACATACATTATATATACATTGTATATACATATATACATATTTATACGATTATGTTAATTATTTTTTACACATATAAAATGTTTCGGATAATTTTAACTTTTGTCATCTTAAATTTGATAATAACCTAAATATGACAATTATAATCATAATAATTAACTTTATAGATTTTATTCATCCCAATGGCCACGTCATAATTATTGATAAATCAAAACATATTGTTTTCTATCGAGTTTTTTTATGTTCCAATAATTTATCAAGTTGAAAAGTCATATATTAGTAAATATAAGCAATTAATTGACCAATATTAGAAAATTCAATCAATATTAAGATAATTACTTAATACTTAATTGCCAATTCAATTGAAATAAAATTTCACAACAGTATTTCTCGTTTAAATATCCAATTATACCAAAATTTAATTAACATATAATTTTGTACATTAATAAAAGGTGAACCACTAGGTTTTTCTTTTAAAATTCTATGTTATTTGTCAAACTAATTACTCAATGTCTTTCTATTTAGACAGATTGTAATTTATAAAATAAAAAAAAAATTTTAAATTATTAGTTTCTGGGCTTTTGATATGACATTAACAATAAGGTATATTATAATTTTATTTATATACAATATATATTTTTTATTTACAACTGCTTCTATTATTATTATAATTATAAAATAATAAATAAATGAATATATAAGTAAAACAAACCATTATTATTGAAGATAAAGTTGCTAGAAATATAATACATAAATTACATCGAGTAATAAACTGCTTCAATATTAAAGGGATGCCCCTAACCTTTTCATAAATATTAAATTATTTTTTTTATTAATTTGTTTTTGTGTGCACATACATTATACATTGTACAAAATTTTCTGGTTTTTATAAAATTTTATTTTCTTTCAGCTGATTTTATGAAGAGTTGCACCTTGAAAGCACCTGACTTCAAAAAGTGTAATCTCGAATCTATACAAGGGCTGTTCAGCAAACTTGCTACAGGTATGTAATTTGCATTTAGTAAAAGTTATTAAATTAAATTCTCTGATTCAAATCACCGTTTAAGACAACCTGATATCAAGCAGTAGTGATATCCATTTGCACATGAATAAATAGATCATGATGTAAATATATAAAGAAAAATAATAGTTTACATTTATTTTTTTTTCCTTTGTTATAAATGTGGCTGCCTATCAAGTTCTTTGTTTCTTGTTTGTAGTTTTTGTATTATTTTAAAGTTTTTGTTAGTTTAAATAATACAAATAAGAATCTAACTGTAGTTCGAAACGTTTAAATATTTCATTAAATCAGTTAATAATCACAGCTTCGTTCATTTATTTTTAATAAATGGATATATAATTTCAAAAATAAATTTAAATATTTATGTTCATTTACATTTAATTTAAGTATATCCAATTTAATTATTATTTCTTTTCATTACCAAAATCCGTTAAAAGCTCGTCTAGTAAAATTAAAGAATAAATTAAATTAAAATGAAATAATTAATGGATTATTTTCTGCTTTCGGTTTTTCACTATATTTATTTTTAACCACCTGAAAAATTCTGACATACATATATTTAAAATCCGTTATTTGAGTCATCACAGGATCTAAAAATACTATTGCCATCTACTTGTTCCCAATAGCCAAATGAAAATGGTGAAAATACTAAATTCAGATTTCGAAGGTATATAAAAATATAAAGTATGTATATTTTTCTTATCTATTTCTAAATATATTGTTTGTAATTGTACAATTTAGTACGAATTCAAGAAAACAACTGATCTGGTCCAAATATTTAAAAAAAAAACGGTACTACAAATTAGTTACTTTTATCAACGTATCAGATCGTATTATTTGATCGTTATATATTGTTATATAACAACATAATCCAATCGTTATATATTGTTACTTAATAACAGAATTTGTTTATATTATTATATTATACTTACTTTTGTATACTTTTTTGTATACATTTATTTTAAGATAAACGATAAGGCTTATTTGGTTTTCGAAAATTAACATTTTTCAATACATTTATATTTTATTTCTACGCGTTGTACCTTGTTTGAAGATTTTATATTATATTTTAAAATTTAATTGGCTGTTGATAATTAGATATAATTATTACGATATATTTATTAGTATTAAATAGTCGTTTGTTATATAAGTGCAAATTTATAACATTATTTATTAAATATAAAATTGTTTAAACAAACAGACAGACAAACTTTAAAACCCACACTTTAAAAAAAAATATTGTATATGCATTAATTGTTACTATAATATATCGATATAAATCTATTAGTCTGCTATCAAAAAAAAAAGTTATTCAATTCACATAATTTCATATATAAAATTCTCACAAGCCAAATGTATAAATGTATAAATGTTTAAGTCTACAACTAACGTTTAAATTGAAAATTAGATCAAACACACATTTCTATAAAATTGATCTGATTAACGGATTGATATCTGCAAATATTAAAATATTAATAAATGGTGGATAATTATATGTATCGATTACCTTTATATTATATGTAAGCAAAAATGCATAAAGTAAAAGAAATAATATATTATTTTTAAATCGAGTATCTCGGCATCGCAGTCATTTAATTCTTTAAATTTATTCAATTAGATTGCACATAACATTCTCAATATAAATGTTTTACTAGAAGTATACAACTAAAGTTAAAATTGAAAAATAGATCGTTCGCACAATTCTATAAAATTGTTCTGATTTACAGATTGATATCCGTCAATATTAAAATATTGATAAATGATGGTTAATTATATGTATCGATTACTTGTATATAATATGTAAATGAGCTAAAATACATGAAGAGAAAGAAATAATTATAATTATTTTTAAATCGAGTTTCTCGGTATCGACAGCCATTTTGATCAGTGTGCCGTGAAGTCACCCGAAGTATTAGGGCATCATGCGTTTTTCGAGCGATTCGCCGGTAGATATATTGTCATTGCACGATAAATATCAAATTTTTAGTAAAATAGAAAGTTGAATTAAAAAACATTATGTGCAAAAGCTAAAGCATTAAATATAGATACTAAGTTAATACAAAAACTAAGTAAATGAAATCAAAATTATGATTTAAAAATTTTCAAAAACAATAATTACTAAACGAATGTACATTTTTGGCATTATAATAAATAAATACTTTTAATGTCAAACAATGACATGTCCTCTTTGCATTTTTTTCTATTTATTTCTTTAATATTACTATATTTTTATAATCACAACAATCCTAAAAAATCGCTTAACAAATTTCAGAAATATTTATCAAAATCTTAATAATCGTTTAGGACATCATAACAGAAGAATTTTATATATTCAAAATTTGTATAAAAGTGTACATATTTTATGTACATTCAAAATTAATATAATTTATTTATGTTTACACTGTTGAATTAAATCAGGTTCGAAACGTTTGTAACTCTTATATTTTTTAATAAACTTACAGAAAAAAAAATAGTTTTGATCATCTAGCTATCGATATGCATAGAATAATAATAATTTAAAATTAAAATTCATACTTGTTTTTATTTAATTGTGATAATTTTTAGCGTTAATATCACTTTTAGTAATATTTTTAATAACATTTATTTGTATAAATTTGTATACATTTTATGAACAAATTTAAAGAATTTTTTATACTGTTAATGATATAAATCAGTGTCGAAACGTTTGCAACTCTTAATAATTTAATAAAATATAGAAAAAATGGTTTTAAATATGATATGTAATTAATATAATAATAGTATTTTAAATTAAACTTCATAACTGCATGAATGTTTTTATTTAATTGTGATAATTTTTAGCATTTATATCACTTCTCATAATATTTTTAATAACATTTATTAATATTTAATTTTTGCTTATTATTTTTTTCTTCTGATGAACGCAAATACTGGTAATTTATTAATTATCCATTAAACCTTTCATTTGCGCCATTGCATTTTCTTTTATTAGATTAACAGTGACATTATATTCATTAATGTTACTAAATATTAATTGAAAGTTGTACGAGAAATACATTAAAATTATTAAATTGTAATACACTTTAATTTAAAAACATACAGCACTCTAAAAAATATATTATTTATAATAAAAATATGCTTTTTGTGATATTCAATGTGGTCATCTTGATTTTGAAGGCAGGTTATTCCAGTACCAAAATTTTGTTTCAAATTTATATCAAAATTAAAAACTGAATGCAAACAATTAACACACTTTCGGCGGTACGGGTACTGGTACTCGATTTAAGGATTGTCATTCAACTGCGGGTGCGGGTATTTTCGGGTACTCGGTCGGACACGCTAGATGCGAAGAGCGAACGAAATTTCTTACTATGAGGGGTTGCAACGCTAGTTTTATATTTATTATAAAACTATAATATAATTATAATTTATTCTTTAAAATTATTTTCGATACGTAAATACGTATATATTACATAAATATATAGTATTTTATTAAAGACAATATGTTTTATGTCAGCATTTTTGGTAAACATACTATTTTTTTAATACTATATTAAATATCTTTGTATTTATTGCGTTTCGATAATTCATATAATTTAATTTTCTAATACAAAATGTTAAAAATAAGCTATTACATTTTTACAAATAATCGAACGTAGCTTATAAAACCATATTATTATTTATGTAATTAACTATTAGGTTTGTCACTAATTTATACACCATAAAAATTAATTAGTTTTACCACATAAAAACTTAATATTATTATCTTATTTACCACTGCGTATGAGTTTAGGCAGTAAGTATTGTACGTAAAAGACTTTGCTTTCATGCCATGCTTACGCATTCGCACCGTTCTAAAAAACCCCGCTACGGGTGTAAGTTAGCCCGAAATCCTATCCGCCGAAAGTGTGTTAATATACAACTACAACAAAAATTACTATAAACAAAAATAAACTATATAGCTTACAATCAGAATTGTTAAGGCGATCAGATATTTGATGACCTCATAAAATTTCTAACAATAAGTCAATTATTATTTAATTTCAATTTGCTGGAAATTTTTAATTTAAATAATTAAATTTGGACAAGAAAAAATATATCAAAACCTTTGAATTAAATATTCTAAACTTGAATAAAACTAAGACTAATAAAATACGTATAATTATTATTTTATTTTATTTATTTGTAATTTGAAAACTATATTCATCCATCGCTACGTAGTTTGCAGGTAAAATTTATTAATACGAGTAATATCTATTGTTAATTGGATCCTTCGTTTTCATTATTATGAATAATTCATACACTACATCTATCATTTATAATTATTATAAATGATAGATGTAGTGTATACGAGAACAGTAATGAATTTCATATAAGAATGTCTCACAAGCTAGATGTTCGACTTTTTCAAATTATACTTATATCTCTTATAAAAATCTTATTTCACTTACTTCTTACTTTTTTCTTGCATACATTGTCTGAAGATAATAAAACATCTAGGGCTCTTGACCAAGGTAAGGTAGTTATCCAAAACCGATGCGCCGAATTTACAGGAATGTTTGCACCAGATACTCACTCGCGAAACCATGGTAAAAAATAATACTAAAACCAACATATAATTTAGGAGATATATAAAACATATAAAAAAACTCCACTAACCCGACGGCATTTAGCCTAATATTCATATGTGACACCTGATTTGCCAACAATAGCTCCATTCCCTAGGCGTCTAGGAAAGAAAGTGAACTTGATGACTAAGAGGATGTTCTAATATTTCTTAAGTTGTCTTCATGTCAACAATGGTATGAAGTACGAGGTTTTAACAGTCAATAACCGACCAAAACGAATTGTTGTCAAACCCAATTAGATATTTATTTCATGTTTACCATATTATTTATTAAATAATCTAGAAAACAGTGGCGTAACTATAGGATGGCAAAATGCCACAGACCTCCGACTCAAGAAGGCTCCTGCCCAAAAAGCTGTTCAGAAATATTTTTAATTTTATGCTGATTGGCGCCGATTTCATTACATAGATTTTTGAAAAAATCGATTCTGTTAGCATTGATTTTAATCCAGATCGATAATTTTTCTTCTTTGTGACTTACTTCACAGAGATCAATTATTTTACAAGTACTCTCACCTAACAGAAGAAGCCCATGGCCGGTTGTGGCAGTTATAATGGACGTATATAACATGTAATTGAGTTTGTTAAAAATATCGAAATTTATTACAAACATGATAATTTTTACTGTTAAAGCCCTATAAAATATTTAGATGTTAATGCCTCAGCTTTGAAATTATTGTTATGATATCATATAAACATGGGTGAAGTAAAATACCCTAGGGTAATACACTCAAGCTTCTGTAAATGTATTGTACATGTAATGTACATTGTAATGTCTGTCAAAAAAAATTATTGTTTGATGAGTGGGAGGATAATCAATTTAATTATATAAATTTTGATTTTTTTTTGTTCCAGACGAAAACAGTTTTATATTCTTATGATACTATATGCATACGTAACATTTTTATCATGTACAATATTCGTATTTGATATGCATTTTATATAAACAGTCTATGCACTTTATTCGAAGCAGTGCATGATGCCCTGATGTAAGGCTGGACCTATAGGGAACATTTTGTATTTATAGTTATATAAATTGATAGAATTTAGAATATATGTACATATGTGCATCTGTACAATATATAATATATATATATATATATATATATATATATATATTTATATATATATATATATATTTATATTCAATAGATAAGTCCTGGATTTTTTCAATATATTGATTGTTTCTTTTCCGAACAGTAAATCCAATTTACAGGATTTACTGTTCGGAAAAGAAACAATCAATCTATATTTATATATATATATATATATATATATATATATTTATAATGTATTTCTTCAGGGATTGCTGAGATTGATGTTCCTGCTGCAGACCCTTTGCATATTGATAAGTTACGTATTTTGCAGGTATACATATTTATTAATATTAAATTTTATAATATCACTTAGATTTGTTTTAAATTGTTGCAAAATTTCATATGCATCAAGTCATTTCCTTATCTATGCAGATAGTATTGATTTAATAATGTGAAATTATAGTCATATGTATATAAATCCAATAAATATTTGTAATGATTATAATATACGATTAAAAAAAGTTTTATAAATGTTTTTTTTTATAAAACATGGTTTAAAATGATTAAAAACCTTGGACTATAGCCAGTTTGACTACTCTTGTATTGAATAAGACACAAATTGTTTACAAAAGCCTGTATATTCAAATTTAATCTCATTATCTCATTATTTAATATTAAACAATTCTTATTATACAACTAATTAAATCTTAATTAGTTGATTAAATCTTTTTAAAAAAAATCATCAATATGACCCTTAGTAAAGTGTTTGTTCATCGTATGTGGTTTTTGTATATTTTAAATCAATTTGTACAGATTTTTCCTGAAAAAGAGTCAAATTGGTACTTGAAACGTATAGAAGATTGTTTGAAAAAATGTTCAAATTTCACTCAGATTTTTTTTATAATAACATAACAAAAAGTTTTTATTCAATTATCCAACCAATTACTAATTGAAAAAAAATCTCATGATAAATTACATATACATATTATATTTATAAATCAATAACGATGTTATTATATTTTTTAAAAATTATTTTCATTTCACGAATATATTTGTTATACATTTCAATCATGTATTGTTTATGCATATTGTGTTTTTTTAATTATATGTATTTCACAATAAAGATGAGTCAAATAATGATACAGAATAACTGCAGGATGTATTAAGAAAATTATCATAGTTTTTTCTTTTACTATTTGGGTGATGGCCCTTTTTACCTTGAAGCTAAAACTACCTGTTCTATAAGCTTTCTAACATTCATCTTAACCCAGAAAAATTTTAATATCTTCATCTAGATATATTTTTCTCAAGAAAGCAACCCAGTGGTCATCCACTCTTGGTTTTGTGTTAGTTATATATTTTAGACAGGTATATGTCTATAATACTTTTGGCGGAATTGAATGTATGTTTGACAAAAAAACATTTTGTCGTATGATATTATATTATCTACACTTATTATAAACACAATATTTCAGGGACAAGGACCAGTCAGCGTTAATGCAAGTTTGGAAAATGTGGTCATAACTGGATTTTCTAAAACCAAAATTGTTGAAAATAGGTAATTACATATAATAATAACAAATAAAGAGTTTTCGATCAAATTTTCCTATGTGAAAACTATATTCTCATTAAATTTTTCATTTTCATTTATTTTTTTAAATATTCACTATTCGTCTTTGTAATAATTTAATATATAATAGAAAAATTGGAATTAATGTAAAATATATAATCATTTCAAAACTAATGCCTCGACGACGGTGTCAATTATAATTAGAATTAGTTTTTTTTTTGAAATTCCTAACAACTTTGTTTCTAGGTTAATATCATGGTTTTATATTGTTTTTACGTTTTTATATATAGTCAGCCTGTTATATTTCTGTCTATGCCAAACTATATCCTGATCAACCAATTGGCAATTGTAACTTTATTAACTTTTCTATATAACGTAATGTGATTTTTGAAATCTGCTTACAATAACGCGATTTTTATTGAGAAAATATCAAACGTTCTCTTTTTTTGTAACATTTACTGTATATTTTAATCACTTCTTATTGTTTTTAATATCAGGCATGTAGGACACAATACCTACGGGTAAAAAAGCTAAATGAAAAAATTTGGTACTATGTTATGTACCTATATATATTTGAATAAAATATATAATTTATTATTGTTATTATTTCTGACTGTACCTAAGTACAGTCAGAACCTCATTGCTAGATAGATGATAAATGAACAAAATAGAATTCAAGACTAATTGTTTTTACTGCAAATTTAAATAAAAACAAATGTATATCTTACTTTTTTAAACATAATAAATTAAATTATATAGCATGACAAGCAAATATTCATATATTATTTACATTACATCTGTTCTCAAATTTATAACATCTTTATTAAGTAGCAATGCAGAAATATAGAGTATGCGAAATATATACGTCTTCTCCATATGAAAACACCGGAACGTATTATATATATAAATATAATTTATATTTATAATAAGAAATGTTGAAATAATTATATATACACTGCCAGGCAAACAGACACTATTCGAACTGATTTTGTCGCTACATAAACGCATCGAAATTTTCCCACTAGCTCAGATAAAAACAAACATATGGAGTAAGAGTATGCGTTATATGTATGTTACAAACTATACTGATATATTTATATATATGTAGTTGCAAGACTATACAATTTTTTTTATTATTTCATTTTTAATTTTATTTATACTTGTCACTAGTACGTAACACTAAAACTGCCAGTAATTTTGAACTAATTAGTGAAGTAAATCAACATATTACAGAAATGAAAACTAAATCAAATGAATATTAGCACATATCACATATAAATGAGAATGAATTTAACTAATAAAATTTTAAAAAGCAGAAATAATATATGAATGATTGATTATTATTTTTCTTAATATTTTACTTATTTATTTATTTTAATTATTTTATTAACTTCTCGTAATAAGTTATAGTAATCGTTCAAAAAACGAAACTGAAATTGTTGGCATACCTTAAAAAAATTATGTTTGTGTATGTATGTGTAAATACAATTTTTCGTCCACGTTTTCGGGAACCGATTCGAATAATTAAAAAAAAATCGATTTCTATTGATAGGGAGACGTGCTGATTAGTTTTTGGCAAAGACAGGTCAAGCCGTTTCGGAGATACGAATCAAAAATTTCAGTATATGGAAACTCGGTTTTCGTGAGAACCAAAACGATTCAAAAAATAATCATTTCATTAAATTTTACAAAGGCACCTCCAGCCATTTCGGACATTTTAAGCAAAAAGTGAAAAAAAAATAGCATTAAGAAAACGGATCATCTAATTAAAAAAAAACACTTTGTGTTGATATTGTGAAGAAATGATTAGTTTCTGGGAAAGGCAATATTTTTTACCATTTTTTTAATTTTTTTTTTCAATTCCTATTTTTTTAAATATCTAAAATTATTTAGATTTCAATTTTAATTTAGGCTAAAAACATTTGAAATGTCTCGAATATTTCATTACGGTTCGAGAAGTTCCAGCAATTTGCACGATGCCATACACCTAGTGATAATTTTATTATTTTCCTAATTTTCTCTGGCACCATCTATATTGTATAATACATTTTGACTTTTTAAATCTGAATAAAAACTAGTGGTGTATGGCATCGTGCTTTATGGCAAATTGCTGGAACTTCCCGTACGGTAACGAAATGTTCCAGGAATATTAAATGTTTTCAAATAGATCATTATAAAAACTGTAACGTTGTCTAATATTTATAAGAATTATATAAACTGAATTACAAATTACAAAAAAATTAAAAAAAAAATGAAGTGAACATTTTTTTCCTAACGCAATTATTTTGTCAACACAAGCACTAAGCTGAAAGTTTTTTAAATCACTCAAATCGGATGCTTATTTCTCTCAAAAATTGCCATTTTTTGTACATTTTGCTCTGTATCTTCTAAATGGCTGGACCTGCCGTTGCCAAAAACTAATCACTTCTCGCAATCATTACAAATTGAATGTAATGTTATCTACGTTTACCCTACGGGAAGTTAAGAAAAATTTCATTATAATAATATAAGATGATGTATTAAAATAATTTTTCTGCGTTATCTTTTCAGAGTGAATCTGAAGAATTTTCACTTTTACACTTTAATGAAAATCCCCAAGTTGCGAATTGAAGGTACATATGACCTAAAGGGCCGAATTCTGTTGGTGCCGCTCATTGGCAATGGAAAATGCTGGTTTGAACCAAGTTAGTAATAAAATAGATCGAAGACAACTGGTACAGTTTTGAAATTTAATAAAATATTTTTAGCCGATCTTGATATTGAAATGCGAAACGAAGTAAATATCTACAAAAGGGACAATTACCACTTTTTCAACGTGACTGCATCTAAAGTACGTTTCAATGTAGGAGGTTTGACTTTGAATTTGAACAATTTATTTGATGGACTCAAAGCATTAGGTATGGAATCAACTTTTATAAAATTTTCTAATATATGCAAAATTTTAATGTGAGTGAAGACTTAAAATCAATATCAACCAGTAGTCCAGTCATTATAGTAAGTTCACCTCGGAATTTGAGATACCCAGCTATAAGTCTGTAAATACTTGTATATTGGCATCCTAAAGTTGTCTCAAAACCCTACATATGGTATTGACACCCTACCATATGTAGGTTTTGAGACAACTTTAGGGTGTCAATATACAAGTATTCACAATCTTACAGCTGGGTATCTCAAATTCAGAGATTCTTACCTAATTTAAGCTTAAATGACTGGTACTACAGTAAAAATTGTTATTGCCTTTTGTTATAGTTATGCAAATTTTAGTTTTGTACCACCAGTTACTTTCTAAACAGTAGAAAACTAACTAACTAACACCAGTATCATTAATTTCTAAATTCTCTTATCTAAAAATAATCAATTAACTATTTTCCTAATATTCCAAGTTCCCATGTTTTCTACTTTTACTCTTTTATTTTAATATATTTTTGTATATATTATGTATCAATTTTCATTATTTTAGAACAAAGTACCAACGCCTATTTGAACGCCAATTGGCGTCCAGTATCGGAGAGTTTGCGTCCAATTTTGTCACAAGCTATTGAAGACATATTGGTAGTGCTAGCAAGACAAGTTTTCCACGGAGTACCGGCAGAATTTTTCTTTGATGACTTTGAAGATTATTTGACACCAAATTTATTGGTCAGTCAGTATAAGGAACGATAAGGAATTACAGCAAATGATATAATTGACTGTAATGAATTATTAAATACTTTGACAATAATTATTAAGGTAACAAGTTTATGGAGATTAATTTAAATGTTGAAGTAAATTTCTGTAACTTCCGACCTTTTATAAAGTTCGTTGAGATCAATTTTACAAAAAATATATTTAATAATAATAAGTTATCATTCATTTCAATTATTATTAATATCATTGTCTTTCAATGCTTGTAGTTAAAAATTTTCATTGACCTATTGTCCCATATTATAAAATTTAAAAAAAAATCGAACATTTAAATCTAGAAACTGTTTGCATTTATTTATATGGATTGGCTTTGGTCAATGTAGAGCCCAAATTTTTAGAAATATTTAAGCTTTTGTAAGTCCATTGATGGAGTCAAGGTTTTATAGAAAATTTGAACCTTTAATCTGTATAGGTAAAATAATATTCGACTATTAAATTAAGTACAAATTATAATAAATGTAAAATAATGTATATAAATAAATATAAAAAATGTGATTATTCAACGTTAATAGAAATATTTGCAAACTTATAGAAGTTTATTGGTTTAATGCATTTTATATCAAACATGAATTGTATAATGAAATGTTTAATAATTTCGGTTGCTAAATTATATCTTGTAGTTATGATAAAGATTTATACTTTAACTAGTTGAATAAATTTTTTTTTTAATTGTTAGACTATAGATATAATTGACAAAATATAGAAAACGTCATATTTTGAAAACAGTAATTCTTCAAAATTACTTCACTTAAAATTTAAGTTTTTATTCTTAAGTTTATTGGATAATACTTATTTTTATCTAATTAAAATAAATCTAGTTTTTAAGTAGATGTAACAGTTCAAAATATTACAATATCATATAATTAATTGTTTTATTAAAGTTATCAATATAATTTTTAACTAATGTGATCAGTTCAATCAACAATACAAGATTTTAAATAAACAATCTGAGAGCAAATAGAATTATTTTTAACTAATGTCATAATGTGTAATGCAGTCAAAATCACAAAATATCACGTGGGGGAGGGAGGGGTATATTGAGATATCACGTGTATTTATTTTTTAACTAATTTTTTAAAAAAAGTTAAAATATTTTCAAAAAAATTCAAAATTTGTACAGTTTTTTCACGTAACTAAAAATACACGTGATGTTAGGTAGGAGGAGGGGCGGTATCACCATGGATCACCAAGATGGAAGGGGAGGTCCAAAAATCCTTAAGAACTCGTTCACGTGATTATGCACCCCCATTGTGTATTTAAATAATCCAAACCAAAATAGTTAAAGAAGTATTAGTACATTTTGAAAATGGCCCCTTTGCTATTTTGAGAAGTGCTTCGAGACACCTTATGACATTAATAAACAATTTCATTTGTCGGCGCCAAATTTAACAGAATAAGCTATTATATATTTAGAATGTTAGTTTTTTTTATATATTAAAATTACTCTATTGCACAAAAGGCATATGCGTATGCCAAAGTTTCACAAAATGCATTTCTTCTAAATTAAAATAAAATATATGTGGTATGGGATTCTCCTATACCTCGAATAAGAAACATTAAAAAATTGTCATTTAGAATAATTTTTCATTATATAAATATAAATATAAATATAAGATGATTAAAAAAAAGTTTATATTATAAATAATATTTTAAATTATATAACAACATTTATGTATATTCCTCATATACAAAATTTATGTATAGAGTCATATATTTTTTATAAATGTTGAAGTAGGTCATGGATTTAAACATGTTGGGAAACACTGGTGTACCGTAATGTGTGTCATTGATTTCAATTAATCTTATATATCAATGTCATTGATGTTGACATCACGGAAAGAATATCAAACTGCAAAGCAAGTTGGTTTGCCGCGAACGAAAGGCAAAAACGTGCATGCGTTCCTGATAGCCAAGATTTCGTTGGAAGTCAACGAGAATAGTTGAAATACTTGCACGTCCACGTCGGCTAAATAAACTTGGACTATTTATATTTATTTACACTTTATGATTTACAGATGTGTAATCATACGACGTTATGATTTAGTGATGTAATAATGATTCGATTAATAAACAAACTACTAATTAACCTATCACATGGTACTATTAACATCTCATCCAATATTTGTCATGTAAATAACTGTTTTCTATAAGTAGTGATGTTCATAGTTATTTTTTACAAGTTTTTATGATAAATTTGATTTGTGTTTCGAAAGTTATTGGGTTTGAATTTTTTTAAGGACTATGATTATAAACCAGTGATTCCCAAAGTGGTCCATATGGACCCTCAAGAGCCCATGACAACTTTCAAAGGGTCCACACATCAGCAAAAAAAAAATTTAGACATCCACGGTAGTGGATCACAACTCCACAACACAGCATGTTAATATATATTTTTATTATTTTATAGTCAATTGATTAACGTATAAACTTGTATTTGAATCTATACTTTAATAAAGTTTAATACTAAACGTTAGTACAAATAGAAATTTATAAAAAAAACGATATCGGTTAAATAGGAGTCCACGGCACAAACAAGTTTGGGAACCCCTGTTCTAAACGATTCTGGTATATGACTACTGCAATCATTAGAAAATTTAATACTCATTTGGCAAAGTACTAAATTATTTAATAATTGCAGTAGTACTCTAAGGGGCCAATTCTGCAGTAACTCTGTCGATAACACAGCGTTGTTGTGGCAACGCTATGTTATGCTTGTTTCTTAGTAGTAAAAACTGTAAAAATGTCTACTTAATTGCTGTACGATCAGGCGTTTTACACATAAAACTTTACAATAAATTGTTATAAAGTTTTATGTTTAATTGTATATTATAAAGTATATATAAACGTATATTATAAATGCGCATCACAAAGATGCAGTTATCATAGCATTTATGAAGAAAAAAACGAGCAATTTTTAAAAAATGTATGTTGAATCATATTTTCAATATCGCAAATGAACTGATATATCGACAAATATTAATAAAAATATTGAGTAATATTTTTTTGAGAATTTTGAAAATTTTGAATCCGCTGGACCTGCCTTCTCCAAAAACTAATCATGCTATTTGAATCATTCTGATCAGATGCTTCATTCTTTCAAAACTGCTATTTTTTGCACATTTTGCTACGTATCTCCAAAATGACTAAGTCTGCCTTCGCAAAAAAGTAATCGGCACGTCTCGCAGTCAATACGAATCGAATATTTTTTGAATCAATCTAATCGGATGCACCGTTCTCGTAAAAACTGTACCCATTTTCTGTACTTTTTGCCCTGTTAGATATTTCTTGTTATTATTATTTTTTTTATTTTTGCTAGTTTTAACAATCAATATAATCTATAAGTTAAAAGTGATGGACCCTGTTAGATATGAGAAACTTTTAATTTTCGATTTTTGGACAATTACTATTACAACTTAAGAAAAGTTAAATATGCATTAGATTTTATATTTTAGCATCAATCTGAACAATGTGTTCTATCAGATGTGAGATTATATATTAAATATATTTTAATAGTGTTGTGAGAATATATATTGCATCCATTTTTGTAATTTTAATTTTATTCTGCAATCTATATATAATTACATTTAGCAAAAAATGCTGACAAGTTTGATTGTTTACAAATTAGTATAGATACCCCCAGTGGCGTATCTACTAGAACTAATAAAATAAGAAAAAACTAAAGACAAAAGGGAAAAAAACAATAAAATGTAGTAAAATGGATGTATTATAGTTAATTAAACTATATAAGGTTTTCAGGAATTTTTCTTTGAAGCCTGGTCGTCTGGCCTTTCTGGTATAAAATCATAACTTAGTTTTATATTTTTAAGTATTTGATGAATGTCTGTATAATTTTTTTACTGGTATTTTTTTTATCTGAAAATAATAATTGCAGTAGTCATATACCAAACGAGTTAAAAATCATTGTCCTTAACCCTTACCACTCGGACGCCGCCGCTTCGGCGCCAAAATACGTATTAATTTTGGAATTAGCGAGTGGAAAAGGTTAAAATAATTCAAATTAAAACGCTAGAACTTTTGGAAACACAAATAAAAAAAATATCATAAAAATTTGTAAAAATCACGTTAGATAAAAGTTATTTACATGACAAATATTGGATGAGATGTTAATAGTACCATGTGGTAGTTTGTTTATTAATCGAATGATTATTATTTCTTTTTCCTTTCTCAATTAGCCATCAGTAGTATGATTATTCTAATGATAAAATTATGTAAAAGATATAAGCATCTATAAAGCCAAGTCGTTGAGCTTATAGAACTATATATTAAGTTCCTAATTATTCTTATTCTTGAAAAAAAAAATCGTATTTTCTAGTTGTATTGAATGTATTATTTTAATTTTTTGATTATTTTTTTATTAGTAATAATTTCTTTTAAGAGCTTATAGAACTATATATATATATATTAAGTTGTTAATTATTCTTATTCTTGAAAAAAAATCGTATTTTCTAGGGGTATTGAATATATTATTTTAATTTTTTGATTATTTTTTTATTGGTAATAAATTTTTTTAAGAGCTCATAGAACTATATATATTAAGTTCTTAGTTATTCTTATTCTTTAAAAAAATCGTATTTTTTAGTGGTATTGAATGTATTATTTTAATTTTTTGATTATTTTTTTATTGGTAATAAATTTTTTTAAGAGCTTATAGAACTATATATATTAAGTTCTTAATTATTCTTATTCTTAAAAAAATCGTATTTTCTAGTGGTATTGAATGTATTATTTTAATTTTTGGATTATTTTTTTTATTGGTAATAAATTTTTTTAAGAGCTTATAGAACTATATATTAAGTTCTTAATTATTCTTATTCTTTAAAAAAATACTCGCAGTGGTATGCACTCTTTTAATTTTTTTGATTATTTTTTATTGGTAACAAATTTTTTTATTATTTTTTTATAAATATAAATTTGTCAACAAAATCAATGATTCAACGTGTCTAATTCCAAAAACATCC